GGGGGGGGGGGGGGGGGGGGGGGGGGGGGGGGGGGGGGGGGGGGGGGTCAGGGGTCCAGAGACTGGGCTGGCTGGTAGGAGGCCTAGGACCTAAACCTCAAACCCTAAACACTAAACCCTAAACCCGCGCATGTGAAGGGGAGGAGTGGTGGCAGCAGCTGAGTGCCAGCCTCTCTCGGCTTCTGAGGCTCCGGGGTTTCGCTTCAAGCCCAAGGTCTAAACTACTTAAAGGGGGTTTAGGGTTTAGGGTTTTAGGGGTTTTAGGGTTTAGGGGTTTAGGGTTTTGGGGTTTAGGGTTTAGGGGTTTAGGGGTTTAGGGTTTAGTCTAAACTCCTTAAAAGGGGTAAATGTAGTCGAATTACTCCTTAAAGAGGGGGTTAAAAAGGGATTAGGGTTCAGGGCCTAAACTCTTTAAAGGGGGTATATGTGGGGATAGGTTATGAGTTCAGACTATGCGTCATTATTTGGATTTGGGCATTTTGGGTTTGAGGTTTAGGGTTTAGGGTTTTTCAGTGTTTAGGGTTTCGGGTTTAGGGCCTAGGGTTTAGGGTGCAAGGTTTCGGGTTTAAGGTCTAGGGTATAGATTTTAAGGTTCAGGGTTTGGGGTTCAAGGGTTCAGGGTTTAGGCATTAATTATGTTTTGAGGGATTTAGGCTTTGGAGTTTGGGGTTCAGGGTTTGAACTGCGAGCTCGGGGGTTCAGAAAGGAATTGGGCTCGCGTGTGTATTCTATGAGATTTCCAAATTCAAATTACCCCTCATTTAGCTCTTAGGGTTGAGGATTTAGGGTTTAGGGTTGAGGATGTAGGGCTTAGGGTTGGGAATGTATGTTCAGGGTCTTGAGGTACACTCTACAGAATCTGGGGAACATGTTGGAAGCCCAACCCTGAAACCCCCAAGCCCCTAAGAGCCCTCGAGCCTTTGAACCTTAAAACGCTTAAAGCTACACCCTAAAGCCTAAACCCTAAACCCTACACCCTAAATCCTTCAACCCTAACTCCGTAACCTTACATCTTCGGGGATAGGCAGCAGCCGAAACCGCTGGCGGCAGCTGGCTTTATGCCGCAGCCTCGAAACTTTGTTTATTGGTGGTTGGGTTCTGGGGTTTAGGGCTGAGGGGTTGAGGGGTTTAGGGTTGGTAGGGTTGGGTTTAAGGTTGGAGCTCATGGATTAGGATTGGGGTAGTTATTAGGAAATAGGGCAAAAGGGATAAAGGGGGCAGACTACATAGGGACTGAGATAGGGGATGCCGGTATGAATGAACGCTAGCTGCCAGTAAGTTTCTGAGGATACAGGACAAGAAAATGGCACTAATGTATTGCTGAGAAGCTTCCACGAGACAACATGCAACCTGCTACATCACATGGATTTGCCGCTAAGTTGCATGAATACTGCTATCTCATCTAGCGGCTTCCATAAACGAAAGCGGAAACCCTAAACTCAAAAAAAACTAACTAAACCCCAGAAAAAGTGGTAGCTTCCGTTTCTTTTCCACTCGTTCCGGGGAAGATAGCGAGCTTTACTATTGCAGAGTAGCTTGCATCATAGGGCATCGAGGCGCCCTAAACCCTAAATACCCTAAACCCTGAATAACCCTATACTATAGTAGTTTCCATTTTTTCCATTGTCCCGACAAATAACCCCTATATAGACCCTGTATAACCCATATAGAACCCCTAAAGAACCCCCATACAACCCCTGTATAGTCAATTTTCCGGTCTTGAGCATGAGAACAGCTCTTTCCGGGACTGGGGCTGCTGCGCCTGTTGCTCGGAGATCAGACTTTCTCGAAACATGCAGCTCAGGACCCAAATCACTAGAACCCCAGAGGCTGCCATAGTAATAGTATGAATAGTAATAGGTAATAACCATAATAGTAACAATGATATTAATGATCATAATAGTCGCAATTTAATCGTAATGTTCTTAATAATAGTAGCAACAATGGTCATATCCTGGATATTTGTAATAACAAGTCCTCATAAGAGGAGTTGAGCGTTGAGATGTCCCCAAAACATAGTAACAATAGAAGTAATATAGTAACAATAATCGCAATATTCTTAATACCAAGAATAAGAACAGTAAGTCCCCATCAGGGGAGTTGAGCTAACCTGCAGGTTGGCACTGTGGTTGGTGTTTTCGAGGGCGGACGTCGACTCGGCGCTCTCCAGGTGGAACTTGGGAAGCCATCTGTCTAGACCCCCTTAAAGGGTGTATATTATATAGGTTTATGTAGGGTTTAGGGTCTAAACCCCTTAAAGGGTGTATGTTATATAGGTTTCTATAGGGTTTAGGGTTTAGGGTCTAAACTCCTTAAAAGGGTAGATATGGGGGATTCCATGAGGCAGTCGGAGTTTTACAGGGGTTAGTGAGGGGATACTAGGAGGTTAGACTACATATAAAGGGACTCTACTGGGAACCCCAAACCGGGAACCTCAAGAATATAGTAGGTATATAATAGGAATATACCTACCAGGGTCCTTATATTCCATTATATTCCTGCTATATTCTTGGGGTTCCCTATTTGGGGTTCCCAGTAGAGTCCCTTTATACATAAGGTACGA